TATAGGACATTTAATACAAACCATTTTGCTGCTTCTTATACTCCTCCTCCTAAAAGACAAACAAACGGCGCTGCTCTGAACCCCGAGACCATAAGCTCTGCAAATAAAAGTCGTGCCGGTGCAAGGGCTGAGCGGCAAAGGCATTAGCTGTTCTCTCACAGGAATGAGCACGCAGCGTGTTTTCGCTTCCTCCTTTGGCCAAGCGGTTGCAGGTGCTGGGCAGGCTCCCCCATCGCCGCCGCGGTGTCCGCGCGTCGCAGCGGGACGCGTCCGACGTTCGGAGACCCGGGCATGGGGACTCGGTGGTTTGGTGCTGTCAGCAGGCTCGGCAAGGGGGCTGCAGACGCAGTGAAGAAGCAGATTTGAGGCCTGGGGAGCAGCCGAGAAGGATCCCTATATCCTATACACCATAGATCCCTATCCTATCCCTATCGTCCTGCAACCAGAGTGCACGAGGTCTAAAGGAAGGGGGAAAGAATAATTTTGCAGGTTCTCGATAGCAACTGCTAGCAAAGATCTCTCAGAATTTGAGAGATTGCTGAAAAATAGAAATTGGAGCAGCTTGCCTGTGGGCAAGCACACAGCTGAGCTCTGCTGCAGACAAGGTGTAGCTGAAGTGCAGTGGGCAAAGGCACTTTCTTTGCCCTGTTTATGACAGCTGGGGAAAGGAGAGGGCCTGCTTTGAAACCTGTGTGGTAGGGGCTCTATTCATGATAACAGACTCCACTGAGGGGCTTACAAAGGCTATGAGGCAACTGGAGAGAGAAGGCGTTTCATAGAAACCCAAGTGTGACCCACTGTTTTCCTTGACCCCCAGGTCCTCAGCTGCACAAAAGGAGACCCTAGCACTGGTTCTGCAGCAACAAATGCCTGTTGTGAGTGAGTGTATTTGAGGAGACGTGGCAATAAGGAGTGACCCGAGGCGCTTGTTTCCACCCACAAGGGATGTTCCCAAGGGCCTTCCTGTGCAGCAGGCGGAGATGGGCACCATGAGGCTTTCAGGAAGCTCTTCAACGGGGAAGCCTTTCCCTAGAAAAGCTTTTCCAGGAAGCCAGGGATGTGACTGTCCCACCAGTGATGTTTACTGGTGGGACACTCGTGACAGCATTTTTTTTGGATTCAGTTCTGCACAACGTAAGAATTCAAATGCAACATTTACATTGACGGTAAAGTGTTTTATTTATTTAAATAAAGACCAGCAAGGGATCGGGATGGTTTAGGACCCTTGTCTTTATTTCAGCCTTCCTTCAACTTGTGGCTATTTTTTTCACAATTCAAGTAGACATAAAAAGGATATTTTCCTGTGTCCTTTTTATTATCCTAAAGTGTTGCAGCACCTTACTAAAGTTAATGATTGAGTTAGGGTGCAGAATGATGGATTTAAGGGTATTGTGAAACTCTTCCTGGTAAATAACAGTCCCCAAATATATCCCTGTTGTCGCCTGAGTCAGACTGCGGTGGGTAGCCAAGCAGCCGTGCACAGTCTTGCAGATTATGTGAGTTGAGGAAAGGCGTTTCCATATGCATCTCATGCTAAGAAGGTAGGGCAGCAAGGATTTCATTAGTAATAATGATATGAGTGGGAGAAGTGATTTAATATGTAGGCCCTGCCAGGAACTGCACAACGAGGAAGTATGTAATTGGTGCAAAGCCTTTATTTATTTATTTATTCATTCATTCATTCATTCATTCCGACACCTACAAAAGTCGGGATTTCAAGCAGCTGTGGAAGGCCCAGTGTTATGTGACACGGTCTCTTTAGGATGAAGGAAAGAACAATCATGACCGAGGTGAACGGAAGGGGAAAAAAGGAAGCTTCAAGATAATGTATTGATACTGTGGCAGAAAGGATAAGAGTAAAAGTGAAAGGAAATGGGAAGCAGAAAAGTAGAAAGAGAAACTGAGGAAGGAGAATCAGCAGCACAGGTGGTTCTGCAGGAATCTTCTCTATCAAGGTTGGTCAGTTGTGACTTTGAAGGTGGCAGAAGTTTTACTTTGAGTCCTTGTTTTAAGGTGTCCATCAAGGTTGGTCAGTTGTGACTTTGAAGTCACTTTGAGTCCTTGTTTTAAGGTGTCCGACTAAAAAAATACAGCAAGTGCACTGGAACTGGTGCAAAATATCTGACTTCAGAGAAAAGAGAAATTTGTCAGAATTGGAAAGGAGAAAAGAAGATCCCGGGATAATGCTGGGATTGGAGCAACAAGGAGTTGCTGCACTGTCTGAATCATCACAGGGCATCTTCACAGCTCCAGCTCCTGCCATAGGCATTGCCTCAGGCAAGGGAGAGGAGCCAGGGGGCACTTCCTAGGCATATTCTTAGGAGGAGGAAGAAATTATTACACTCAGGCAACATCAGGAAGAGCTATGTGAGCTGGGATCAATATAAAGGGTGGCCTTTTGCTGAGAGTAATGAATCAGTCCAAGAGAGAAGCAGATCATGTGAAGGAGAAAATGAGTGAGAAAGAAGAGTAACTCGGGGATTAATGACAGTGAGAAGCCAGAAGGTTTGACAGGGAGCATGATACCTGAGGGACCTGGCCCGTTGTGCTGAATAGTGACCTGCATCATGCCCTGCACCCGGAGCGTGGGCCTCCAGGTTGTGGAGGAGCCCTGTTAGGAAGTAGCTGGCACCCAAGAAAGCTGATGTTGCAGACGTAACATTTTAAAGGCTGAGGACCTGGCAGAGGGCCCAGCTCTGGGGACTGTGGGGTTGGACTCCTCTATGTTTTATACTTACATGGCATCCTTGCACAGGGCAGCAGAGACTCCATAATGCACAATATTTTCTAGATATAAAAGAAAACAGAGACTATCCCATTATATTATGGGTCAGAGAGGCTCTGCTGGCAGACTGAATTCTGCTGGGAACAGATCACTTCACCTTCTCAGTGACGACAGCAGACTTCCACTAATGCTTCAGACTTCCCAGGTTTAGCAGATGAAGAAAAAGAATTATTCAGGAGGCAAATAGAGCAGATTTAAAAATAGAGGAGAATTTTATGGCCGGACTTGCAAACAGTTGGCATCTGCAGACACTAGAAGACTCTGCATCTGCTTTAATCAACATGGGTTGATCCTTTCTGATTATTTCTTTCAGATCCCCATGGTTCTTAAGATTAGTAGTTCTGTATTATCTATGATGAAGCCACTGTTTAGCTTCATACAGAGGGCAACTCACTTGTAGTCTCAAACTGCACAGCTTTGATCAGTAAGGAAGGCAAGCTAAAGCTGAGAGCCTGAGAATAGACATTTATTAATAAGTCTATGCTTCCCGCTCTAAGTTACCTCATCTGTCTTCCAGTTATATTTTCATTAGTGATAGAATAGGCTTGTCTGTTTCTATTGCCTTTTTTTTTTGGCATGAAAATAAAGAGTAGATGTCAGTGGAAATTAAAGACTTTCTTTTTAAACAGATTTAAAATGTTTGTTCATGTTTCTGGAAACTATAGCTGGGAAATTAATGCATTCTGTTCAGCTGAGTGTAAATAAAGGCTGCGGCATGGCAGGCACTTAAAGTAGTTCATGAGAAATATCTAAAATATCTGAGTAATAATTGTTGTCTCGAGGGATGCAGATCCTTCATGGTATAAATCTCTTTAGCAGTTGGGATAAGGGAAGTTATGCCATTACTCTACTGGGCAAGATATGGTTTCTTTGTGGTATTTTTTTTTTCAACAGGCAGGTTCCCTTCAACTGTGGAAGTGCTTTGTGGTAGCTTATGTGGTGGAAACAACTTCTGAAGGAAACACTTGTAATAGTCGTCCTTGAGAGGGTGTTCGGGATGAGCTGAGCCTGTGCTTTGGTGGGCTTGAGGGATCATGTGGGCTGTTTTTTTTCAAAAGTATTATTGTTTTTTTTCTCATCAGTATTTGGGATCTGTTGGCCTCAAAATGTTATACGGCCAGATCAGTAACCTGTTGGCTTCTTCAGCCACCAGAAAGCTCTCCAGCTGCTTTGGTCAAACCCGTCATTACTTTTGAGATCCCCAGGGTTCCTAGAGCAGTGTGTGCTCACTGCCTGTGACAAAGCCACTGCCTCCAGCTTCCCTCCATGCCGAGGCCACCTCCCCTGGAGTTGAGGTGAGTTGTTCCATTATCAGCAAACGGCTGAGGGAAAAACAAAAGAGCCTGGAAAAACTGAGCGGTGAAGTGCTTGGCACAGGGCACCTATGAGATCATATTGACTTTTTATAGTTTTCAGGGCAGCTGGAGTTGGGTTGGATTTGGTCTCCCTGTATCTTTATGCTGTCTCCATTTTAGTGTAACTTTTTGAAATTTTCATTTACTAAACATAAGACAACAAGGAGAGAGGGAGAGGGTAGGCAACCACTGTATACAGCATCTGTAACATTTAATTATATGAGACAGAGATTTTCCAGTATGTCTTTGCAACACAAAGAACATTTAAATATCAGCATCACAGTATATATTTTCCAAATCACAACACCCACACATTTCCTTCGCCAAGTAGTTTTCCTTCTATGGCTGCATATCTAAAATTAGCCTGAAGGTCAAATCTGAATAGAAATACCCTTGCCATTGAACGTGCTGGGAATGACTGGTGCAATGGGCTCAATTTTCCATTGAAAAACATCTTTTTTTTTTAATAACAGTTCCTCTTACAAATAAAAATGTTGGAGAAAGGCAAAATGAGGCCTGCTGAATAAAATCATCATCCTATACTTTGCTTTCATTGTAAGGATATTTTTATAGTCAACTTTTAAATATAACAAGATGGATATTGTGAAGCTATAGTATAAAAGATGTAGAAAGAGCCTCCAGAATATCTGAGCACCAGCTTGTGACATTCAGAAGATGTTTGTATATGAAAGATGTACACATTGAAGAATTCGGTGTTAAGAAATGTATTGTTGAGAAGAAATGAATAGTTCAGGTCTAAAAATAGTTGCCTAACCCGCAGCTGTATTGTGTGAGGACAACTGCACCCAGAGCTATGCAGTCTATCCTGCCTAAATGCAAAAGCACTGTCTTGCAAAAAGTGCATTTATCAGCCACAGTGTTTTATTGAGTGCTTTAATAATACAAGTGTACATCAACTGATCCACAGTCAAAAGTGGCAGGTCCCTAAGAAATTTACAAGCACTTTTTTTTTTAAGTAAATCAAAATACATATTAATTTGTTCAACGCAATAGCCTTTTGTGTGGGAAACAGAAGGCTAGTGATAAACACAGTCTTAGTAATGCACAGTGATTCTTGATTTTAAGCTTTTATACAAAACTTGTTCCCAGTAGCATGCACCCACCATTAAAGACTTCAGTACAAAAAAATAACCCTAAACACTACATTTAAGTAGAAACGAGATATAATTCTGAATTTGTTTGTTTTCCCCAAAACCACATGAAAGAAAAAAAAACACACATTAATACAAAGCTTTGTGACAAAGCTCTATACTATTACAGATCCAACATTCTTTGCACTGATAACCAAAATCCCCTGTCTACACTTGAGGGAAACAGCTTTCAAGTTAACAGAACAAAACAAAACAAATAAAAATAAAAATAAAAAAGGAAAGTAAGGACATTTTTTTGTCACAAAATGGTTCAAAATTTAATAAAAAATAAGAATGAAGGGAAGGGCTATTGATGCACTTAGTGAATGTGCTTGCACAGGTCCAGCATATTCTAGAGGAGATTCCTATGTAGCGTATCGCTTGGTCCACTGTCTGGCCATTCTGTCATGCTCTGCTCTGTTAGTCATATACTGAGTGGCAATACTTCCAACCAGGGGGTCAGCTGAAAAGGAAACACAAACCATGAAATACTCATTGATGAAGTTCTGTTAGGATTATCTGTAAGAATAAAGCACTATTTGCATTCTGCAAGCAAGCATGCACAGTGGAAGAAATAAAATAGAGGATGAGTGGAGTTGACTTGACAATTAGCTGTAAACTTTGAGTAAATTTATGATTAAAGCAAGTTTTTTTTTCAGATTTTTTTACATTTTAAAACAAAATTTCCAATAATTTTCTTCTGAGCTAAAAGTGACAGAAAGACCTATCTATGATAGGAATAAACATTTATTTACAACATTAGAGGTGTACAAGTATCTATACTACTACCATCTAAAAAGAGGATGGGCTCCAATCCTATTATCAGGTTAAATGGGTTTTATGACTACTTTTAAAGCATAAAGAAAGATTAGGAGTTCAGGCAGTGAATACAATTTTCAAAGCAACAGAAGTTAATTACAAGCTTTTCTAATTAGCATTTGATTTATGGCCTCATGTCTTTTCTGAGACAGAATAGGTATGAATATGTACAGAATACTGTATGATTTGGTTTTGTCATGGTATTTGTGAACTTCAGAAAAGAAGAAATAACCCAAAGAAGTATTTTTTAGATTATTTGTAATCTGCAAATTACTTCTCAAATAAGTAAACAGATCAGTTAGCCTTCTAAGAAAAACAAAAAATAAACAAAAAGTTTTTTCCAGAAAGGACGGATTGTGTGTAATCAACATTTTTATCTTTTGAACAACAATATCCTCTCAGTTTAAAACAGACAAAATGTATAGATTGTTTCCCTTTTTGGTGGGTCCGTACTCTCGGTACTTCTCCTGCAACAGCAAATTTCCTAAGATTGTATCACACACCATGTGATAGTAATGATTTTTTAAAATTCCTTTCAAGAGCCACTTAATAATTAGTTTTGCAGTTGACTCAAGATGGTGCCATTGAACAACACGAATATCAAACTTCCACAGCACAGCTGTAATCTCCGTGTTGTGATTCCAGAACATAATTAACCATTGAGACTCTCCTGGGCTAGATGTCAGGCCTTCTGCAAGGCAGAATGGCTCTAGGCTTTTTTGTTTGTTTGTTTGATGGTTAGGGTTTACGATAGGATAAATACATTTGCTCAGCCAAAAATCGATTCATTGTCTTACTGCCAAAATTAGTGAATGTTAGTAAATCATATCCAGTGAAAAAAATCTTTTGCTTTGTGTTGAACACGCTTTCATGAGCCTATGGTTTGAATCCTACGTTTGAACCTTCTAAATTGTAAGGCAAGCAATCACTGCGAACGTGATGTACTAAGTCCCTGTAGTCTCAGCCCTGCAAACACTTAATGCATATGCTTAACTTTAATATCTTAATATATCCAGAGGAGGTCATCGAGGCATGGACTTTACTATTTTTACATGCATGAGTGTCAAAGAGGTATAGCTAATCTATGATCCACTTTAAAAGTTTTAGAATAGAAAGAGTATCACCTTTATCTTCTCAGATAAGGAGAAGAAATACATAGGGGATTAGTAGAAGGATTTTGTTTTGCACAAATGGAAAGCTAACTGTCTACTATTATTTGTGAGGAAAGTTGTTCTTCGTGACTGGAATAATGTTGGACAAGAACTGTAGGGTAAATAGGTACCCACAGGTAACTGTACAGAAAGAATTCCCAGATAAGAAAGATAAGTTTGCAAAGCAGGCAAAGTGCATGAGATCTTTAAAATCCTGCCTAAAATCAGGGCTCTGTGATATGGTGTGAAGACACACAGAAATACTTAGTACCAGGCCTTTGTGTCTGCAGTGCTTGGTCTGGCAGCTGGGGAAAGAGGAGATGTGACTACCTGCAAGACGTTAGATGCCCATATAGCTCTTGTTGGGGATGATTCCCACCAAGAGAGTGATCTGGCGCTTGGTACATTTCAGTGTGCTTCCCTGAAATTAGAGACCCCTCCATCAGCAAGTGCCTGGGCAAAGGAGGAATTCAGGATAGACAAGAAATACTTCCCTGTCATAGCGGGAGCAGTGCCCAAACCTTCTGTTGCTCTCAGTGATTATTTACAATTTGGCAATTTGTCTACAAATTCAGTTAATTACAACAATATTAAACAAAGAACAAAACCATATCTTGGCAAAGCTGCAAATTCAAGAAGAAAAATGGCTCTTGCCAAAGAGACCCAGCTATTTCCTATTTCTGTCAGAGGGCCTTGAGCTGTGACATCCTTATACTCAGTACTGTACGATGACTTTAATAAGAACTCTTTAATGGGCGTTTGAAGAGCTAGTTTATTTTAACAGTTCCTGTGAAGCCATAAAACTAGGAGAAGGTACAACTGCTTTGGATGGAAAGCCAGAATGGCTGGGGAGGAGGAAACATTTTCCAGGACCGAAGCAGCCTTCATGTTGCTTCTATGGAGACCATGCCTTGCCAGGCTTTGTACTAGGTGACTTATAGCAGGCGCTGGCAACAAGTCCAGGGGCTCTACAGCCAAGGCTGTGAGGGGCGAATGAGTTGGTCTGGGCAGATGGTTACTGAGGTATTTGGTGGGGCTGAGAAATGCTTGCTGCAAGTGAGGAAACACTGAGGCCCAAGGGATGACAGACTTGGCTCTGGTGCATGGGAAGCCATGGGACCTGTCTTGAGCTGGGAGAAGAAGATGGGACACAATAGAAAAGCACCACACTGATGCCCGAAAGACCTCAATATTAATCCTTACTTTTCTATGAAGCTGCAATGCTACCTCATGGAAGTTATTTAAGTGTGGGGTTCTCTTCCTTAGTGCCCCTAATTTTCATTAATTTTTGATTAAAATGATCCAAATAGTGGCACAATGGCCAATTCCATCCAACATGCTGTATTTGCACTGGAGACACAAGGACAGTGTATGAAATACAGAATACAAATTGTCTCTTTTTGCATCTGCAGGCTGCAGGCTGTGTTGGAGGAGGGAGCAGGACTGCAGGCACAAGGAGATAGATCTCTCAAAACTTTATCTTGAGCCACCAGCTCCACGCAGCTCATGCGCAGGGACCATAGCATGGGGCTTATCACCTAAATTGACCCATCCTGATTAAACAAAGATTTCATTTGCAATATGCTAAAGATATGGCATGAGCCTTAGCCCTGGCCTCCCAGTCCTACGAAGTGCTAAAGAAGAGGAAAACCAAATAGTTCCCATTTCCCCCTCTATTCAAGGTAGTGAGCCGCTGAGCAGAACCTGATTCTCAGCTGGGCTGCACGGTAAAATAAATATTCTGAAATCTCCATTAGTAGGGCCAAATAAGTATTTATAAAAGAATTGCTGCATTAAGTATCCAATTAAAAAATAAAAAGGACCACTGAAGCTCAAAATCTGTGACTACTTTTCCCACGTTTCCATTTCTCATTACTGTAAAGCTGTTTCTTATTTTCCATTTGTATATACCTGTGGTTTTATTCTTCTTGTTAGAAATTTGTTTCCATAACTAATAAATCACTCTTACTTTTTCTTCTATTTTTTAGCAGTAGTAGTGTGATTCATCAGTGAATCACACTTCATTACAGAAATTCACTCCAAATGGGACTGTGTCCAAACAACAAGGAAAAGCAGGGGATCATAACATAAAGCTATGCCAAAAATGTATTATCGGAATAACTTAATGAAATAAATGAAGTTAAAACCACAATAAATTAATAACAATAACAGCAAAACTAAACTATATTTCAAGCACGCAAAAGCCAAGGGAAAATCAGAATAAAACACTATTATGGAGAACATCTGCGCATACAAGTCCAGGCAACAATATTCCCTGAAACACAGACTTTTAAAGCAGTTAATATATATATCAGCCATGAGGCAAGGTAAGTGGGATCCCAGTCCTACAAACACAGAGCATGAACCATATTGTGGGGCTCAGATGGGGTTCCTGTTTTTCTCCTACTTGCACGCAGGACAATTTCGTTACTATCTAACTTGGTATCTCCTTCCTCCAGGGCTGGGTCACTCTTATGGAAAAGCAGGACCATGTGCAAGCAAGCCGAGTAAGCACTGCAGAGAGCAGCAACTGCTTTTGCAGATAAGTCAGACTATCAGAACAGTTAGTCTCCACTGACTGGCAGATTAGTTCTCTTGGCTCCTGCCTGATGCTTTCTCGTGCAGGACTGGTAACCGGTTCATCTGAGCTGCTGTTTCCCTCCAGCTCCGGGGCCCCCAGGACAGAGGCAGTGGCTTGCCCTGATTCCTGACTTATTGATCAGGAGCAGGCCAGCAATTCAGTGTCTTGGATGGAGGAGCCCTGCACCTCAAACGCCCTGTTTTGGGACCTCTTATATCCCCAGGTCCAATGTGCCTGTCATGTGAGCTGTTGTACTTGCGATGTGACACCACCAACACACATATTCTCCTCTGACATGGCCCCAGGCACAGACACACCAGCCTCCCATGCTCTAGAAACTCAAGAAGTCTGCACATTTCTCACCTCTGTGCTGAGCAGGGCCCAAACCCTCAAACCCACTGTGCCAACCTTGTGGGAACACTAGATACTGGGTTGCACTATTACCTGCTAACCAAAATAGTTGTGCAACTCTGATGACTTTAATATCTCATAATTTATTGTTCCTTCTAGTGTTTATCTCTCAGATCTAGCATTTCAACTGCAAGAGGCCTCTATAATGTTTATCTTGTTTAAAGAAAACCTGTTATCCCATATGGGTTAGCTCCATATGAAGCTAGAGATCAGGAGATAAAGCATCAGAAGAAGTGCAAGAATAATGAAAATAGTAAGAATAAGAATAGAAAGTGCAAAACAAAACAAGCATGGACAAAAGCTAGGACTCAGTGAGGTAGAAAATGCCATTAGGAGAACTGTTGTATCAGGAAAAGCTGTTGTAACCTTTGTAGGAAAAGCGTACCTGCCCAATCCTCCCTCATCTCATACCTTTAGAAAGTTATTTAATCCTCATGTTATATCAGTATTCGTAGAATTACTCTGTATTTACATGTTGTTTGGAAAGCTGGTCTAGCTGGA